TCGGTAAAAAAGAAAGAATTCTTACCATTTGCAAATGCATGGATAAACTTGGAGCTCATTATGCAAAGGGAAATAAGCCAATCAGAGAAAGATAAGTATCACATGATCTCACTCATATGTGGAATGTAATGAACAACATAAACTGTTGAACAAAAATAGACCCAGACGGCTATTGTTTTGTTGGCTGTTGTCATTATTTTACTTGACAATCTAAGGGAAAAGAGGTCAGTGCCCCTGACTAAATAGTCAGGCATTGCATGTTTTAAAAATTCTTGAGCATACTGGTTGAAAAATCACTGGACTAATCCATAAAAATTAATGAATGTGACCTGAGCATCTTTTGGGCACAAAGAACAATACTGCTGAACTAGTGTAAGATGTTTACAAAGAATATAATCTAAAATTTGATCTTGGTATAATATTTTTGTTTCTTGTCCTTTTTTTAAAATTAAAGTTAGCTATTTGGATATTCATAAATATAACTTTAATTTAATATTGTATACAATTTATCCCACATAAGCTAACTGATGTAGAATTGTGAAGGATTCAGTCTTTTAAAAATAAAACAAGCTCTGGCCATTGTGGCTCAGTTGGTTGGGCATTGTCCTATGCACCAAAATGTTACTGGTTGAATTCCTGGTTAGGGCACATTTCTGAGTTGCAGGCTCCATCCCCAATAAGAGGCAGCCAATCAATGCTTCTCTCTTCCTTTCCCTCTCCCTTCTTCTCTCTCTAAAAAATCATTAAATGTATTTGAAATAATAAAATAAAATGAAATAAAAATACAAATTCCTGAGTATTCCCATAAATAATAAATCTATACTTTCAATTTGGTGAAAATTACCCTTGCCACTCTCATATATATTTTATTATATTAAAGATATAGATTGCAAATTAGCAATTTGATACAAACCCATGTAAATCTACACTCTTAAAAGATTCCATGTGTTTTTAAGTAAAGCTAATTCAGCAAGAGAAATAGTTGAGGACATCTAGTGAAATTCACTTTGAACATACTCTAGTACATCAAAAATAAAACCTCTTGCTATCACGACATAACAAAATGCCAAATCTCCATTTACAATTTTAGAGTCAGGTAGTAAGTCCCAGAATATACTCACATTTATTGTCCCATAAGTAAACAAATATAAGGACACAAATTTCTAAGCCTTTTTCAACAGACAAGAAATGTAACGAGAAATGTTACCGTATTTGCCGGCGTATAAGACGACTGGGCGTATAAGACGACCCCCTAACATTTCCACTCAAAATACAGAGTTTGTTATATACTCGCCGTATAAGACTACCCCCTCTTCCGCACACCTTCCACACACCAAATAAAAGGTAAAACCATATCAGATTTGATTTTAACATTTTAATTTATATTCAAATGTTTATGACATGCAGGAAAACTGTCACAAGGCTGTATGTAATCAAACATATACATAAAACAGTGCAAGTTTATTACCGGTAAACATACCGGTAATCCACTAAAGAAAAAACACTCTATAGACTGGTACCCAATGGGGCAGTATTGTGGTTGGCTGTTGGCTGTATACAAAGCCTGATTTGATTGGTCCCTGCTCCCTGTTTGCCCGCCCTGTCACTATAGCAGTCTGGTCCACCCTTGCATCAGCATCTCCCTGGGACCTCACTAGTGCGCAAGTGCGAGCTCTTCAACATTCTAACAGGCACCATGATAGCGCAAAATCGCGAATCTTCAATGCATATGTAAAGAAATATACGGTAACCCGAATTTACCACACTCGCAAAATCGCACACAGCCAACCATACACCCAGTATGGTATCGCGATTCGTGATTTTGCGCTATCATACTGGGTGTATGGTCGGCTGTGTGCGATTTTGCGAGTGTGGTAAAATCGCATAACAGCAAAATCGCATAACAGCCGAGCATACACCCAGCAGCGCTGCTGATGCCTGAACGGTATGTGGAATGAAGTGGGCGGGCATCGGGAGGCCACTATGGCACGGGGCAAGCACTATGGGCAGTCTATCTGAAGTGTACCTGGCGTATAAGACGACCCCCCACTTGGAGGCATATTTTTCAGGGCCAAAAAATCGTCTTATACGCCAGCTAATACGGTACATCTCTGCCAAAAATACGAAGGAACAAATCATCTTTTTATAAAAAGCAATGATACTAAAAGTTGATTTGAATATATTTCTTTAGCTAGAAACATAATATTCATCTAGTTGGCCATTAGCATCCAGTAGAGTCTCTCGTCCGATAAAAGATTGACTGGATAGAGACTACTTTCATGTTTCAATTTTTCTTATTTGGGGACATTTAAGTTGTCTCACAGAAAGGAACAAAAACATCAACTTCTAATTTAAAAAATGCTGTTTTTCAGACATAATATTTACTCCACGAAGAAAAATACAAACAAATTCCAAGCTGAGTAAAGTTGAAAAGTTAAACCCAAACTATTTGACTTAATAAATTCTTTAATAACAGTAATTAAGCTATTATTTTGGAAACAGGGATGACTCAAAAGGTGTCACAACCTAACTTATTAATCATGTCTTTTAACTTTGGTACAATTTCTCAGTCCCTCGGGAAAATTCCCATGATCACAATTTCAGAGAGCCCTGACCAGCCATTTTGGCATTTTCCAATGCTAAGGAGTGTGATATGCTTTGCCACTCTATCCTCCTCAAACACCCCAATGACCACTAGAGCTGAGGCAGCTTCCACCATCCAAGAGGGTGGGAGTCTGGGCTGCCTCAGCAACTCTCAAGGAGCTCAGAGGGTTCCAAGTAGAGCACTGTTTTGGGCAATGGAAATTTGAATACATGATTTATGGTAGGCTGGTATAGAAGAGCCTGTTTTGATTTGTCTTAAGAAGTTAAAGCACAACCAGTGTGGCTCAGTGGTTGAGTGTCAACAGGAGGTCACACTTCAATTCCCGGTCAGAGCACATGCCCAGGCTGTGGGCTTGTTCCCCAGTAGGGGGCATGCAGAAAACAACTGATCAATGATTCTCTGTCATCATTGTTGTTTCTATCTCTTTCCTTTCCTCTCTGAAGTCAATAAAAATATGTTTTTTTTAAAGAAGTTAACTAAGGTATCCTTAACAAAGATGACCATGCAGACTGTTAATAAAGTGTAGAATGGTTCAGAGATTGGCTGTGAGGCCACTCAGCTTAAATTCAAATTACTACTTGTGACCTTGCGCAATTACTTTACCCTCTCTGTTCTAACTTTTCCCATCTGTAAACAGAAATAGAAATACTACCTAAGACCATTGTGAAAATTAAAGGAGACAGTATGTTCAACACAGTGCCTGGCACATAATAACTACTTCAGAATTATTAGCTATTATTATTAGTTACAAGAATAGTAGAAATATAAAAACATGAGTGAATGGGGAAAAGGTACTGTAGTAAGGTTTAATTTAAATGATTTAAAAGGCAAAACCAAGGAACATCTTCCATAAGAAGATAGAATTCATAAAAATAACCTCCACTGATCTAATACAAACTTGAAAATGCAAAGTGTGTAACTTCCAGGTAACCACACACTGAAATATTCTTGAATTCTGATCCCCAACCCTTACATTGTTACATATTTTTAGAGACTTGTGTTTTGGCTCAATAACGTTACATTTAATTATTTTAAGCTTTGATGCTATAAAACAAACTTCAGACTTTGCATGCCTCATATCCCCACAGGAAGAACAAAGCTAGGCTTCACAGAGAGAGCTGCGTTACTCTGAATTTCTCTCCTTTTCTCTCATTGTGTGTGGCCAAGGTCAGAAAACCAGTTGGACTTCCTTGCAGACCGTCCTTTATAGAACCAGCACTTGTGAGAGCAATTAACACATGGCCACAACACATGACTTATTTTGTGGCAGAGTTAGCTGCAAAGAAAGACGCCGATGTCTAAGGGCATCATCTACTAAGGGACCTAAAGGTAATGAGTCAAGAATGTCCTATCTTCGCTAGGGGACTGTCTAGGGCGGGGAAAAAAATGGACACATATGTAATACCCTTTGTAATAAAAAATAAAATTTGAAAAAAAAAAAAGAATGTCCTATCTTCCAATTTTCAGAAAACAAAGTGGTGTTTCCGAATGACACACGAAAAAGCCTCCTCAAACCCTATATCACTGAGACCATGTGTTCTCAAACTGACAGTCCAGGAAGACACTTGAACAACAATGGTTTTTGTTTTTTCCCTCTCATTTACTCTAAGAACAGGACAAAAGACATTGACTAAAGTATTTCAGCATAGAGACTGAACACAATTTTTCTATGATTAATAATTCTTATTGTTCAATTATGCTAATTAGCCTTAAATTTAGTAATAAAATGTGCTACTGAAATGTATTTCCTGAGGATTGTTTTAAAGTCTTTAACCCTCAATATTTATTTTTAATTAAATTAGGAAACTTAACTACAATCTTTCGAAATTTACTAGTGGTATTAAAAACATCTCTGGAAATTAGGGGAAAAGCAATCCATCATTTCTTAGAGCTGTAAAATCCCCTCTGTTCAATGTAAAGATTAATTTAAGGAGAAACAGGCATCACGGGGCACACTCACCAGTGGTTCTGCCATGATGATGCGAATCTTGCGCTCAGCCTGGGTGGTGAAGTTGACAAACAAACTCTTGAGGACATATTCCCCTGGTTTGCTGTCTGGGTCCACATTGATGGGTAACATGGTTGGTGGCCCTTTTTCCCTTTGTGTACCAGACACAGGTGGAACTGGAGGCTTGATATAACCGTTGCCGACAGGAGAAGCTGAAAAATATAACATATTCTTACAAGCTGGAAATCACATCGTAAACATTCAGATTGGCTGTGCTAAACCATAGATATAAGGATAAGAATCATATCCGGAATGCTGTCCTTAGCATCATAACCTGGCCTAATTTTTTAGAAATGGTGTTAGAATGTAATTATTTTTATTACATTAGACTTATGTTATGACATATTTGATAATCTCAAAATACTTCTGTGGTTACCACATTGCTTTAGGTAAATTATATTGCAAGTACAAAATACAGTTGATAAATCCAACAGCACTTATGATGTCCCAGGGAAGTAAATAAAGAACATATATGTGAAAAAAAAGTGATTTGTTGTCCTGATTTTCCTAATAGCCAGAAGCTCTCTGTCTCCTGTACTTAATTCTAACTAATGGAACAAGAACTAATGAAATAAATAATGCCCCAAACTTCAGAAGTTTCCAAGAATCAATTTACGGTAGCCCAACTTGCTCTTTCTCCAAAAGGAATGATCTTCTTGAAAGATACAGACTCAGGAAGGGCCCTATCAATGGCAATCAAAGTGTAGGTCTAACTTTTCACTCTCCACACCCTCGGTACAATTGAGATGCCCTCCTCATCCTTCATAATATGTGCAGATTCATCACTTGGATTAGATTTTGAACATAGTTTCTGGTGAGTGGCCTCCTTCCAGAATGCAATAGTCAGACAACTATTTTAACTTTGATAGTTACAGAAAATAAAATTTTAAATTTTAGCTAGAGAAAATAGATTTTTATTCATAAATGGAAATTTTATGTCTCTCTTCTTAAATTGTAACATAAACTACCCCCTTCCACATAAGTACCTGTAAGATGTTATCACTATTCAGTTGAAGCAATGCAAGCATAAGTGGGCTTTGATAGAGGCATTAGGAATCCTAAGGACAGGATAATGATAAAGCAGACGTTTAAAAGGTAGACTGTATCATTTTGGGTGTAGAGATTAAGGAAAAGAGTAAAGACAAAATTAGATTTCCAGTTTGGACCCTGGTTTGGGTATTAGAGAATGATGTTATGCCATTGATAATAAAGCAAGAAAAAAGTTCTCCTTGAAACAATCTCAAAACTACAAGTAAATTCAAGGCTTCTCTTACCTTCTTTCAACCCCAAGCCAAATTTTGAGGAAGCCATGAAAATTTATTTTATTTTATTAAATTACAAACATGTCCCCATGTTGCACATACTCCCTCATCCTTCCTACTCTTTCCTAATGCCCCGTCCTCTCTGGATCCCTTACAATCTCAACTGTAACTAAACTTTAATTATATGGCCTCTTCAGATACAAAAATAAAATATGTTGTATATTACTTCTTTCCCTCTCTATTCTTAGCACTTCTATCATAGTCTAGCCCTTCGAAGCCTACGGCATGATTACTAGAGCAGTCCCTCTGTTGCCTTTAGTTCATTAATTTTACATACTAAACAGATCTTTCTTCAGAATGGTTTTAATCATAACACTTTTTTACTCAACATTTTCAATGGCTCTCAATTATCATTGTCAAGCCTCAAACACATGCCTTGTGTTCGAGCCTCACCAGCAGTCTGCCTCCATCCTGTGCCCAGGTATTGCTGATGCCCTGCTGGCCCACGAGCACACTGTTCTCACTTATGCCTTCCTCTCCTGCTGCTCCTTCTCATCTTCTCTGCTTATCTAAGCCTTCTGTCCCTTCACAATCACTCCTAGTGTCATTGCCACCAGGCTAACCCCTGCTGGTAAGTTTGCATTATTTCGAGTTTTAAACATTTAACTCATGACCTTTGGCACTGTACATCCCACATTACCCAAGGAAGACTCAATAGACAGGTGACAAGAGAAGTGATTATCCAATGCAGTTCTGCCTAAGGTTGGTCCTATAACTGAACCATACATTCTTCTAAATGTATCCCTTAAAGGTACCCCAATAAGACTGCAGTCTCCCAGATCTAGTATAGAGTTCTTCACTCAAGTAATGCCCAATAAATCTCCTTAACTAATTAAAGTGACATCTTACTTGATTTCTGTACATCTGAAGTGATTCACTGGGAGGAAACTATGACAAGATTCAGTAGTAGAGTCTCTAAAGGAATACCATGCAGGATTTTCAATGAAGGGTCATTAGTTCAAATGGTGCTCCAAACAGCTTCCTAAAATGTACTATTTAATCTAAAGGGGCATACTCAAAATCAGGTAATGCAAATGAAGTCCTGACCATGTCCCCATGTTACCTCCTACTCTCTCAGTATAAGTCCAACTTACAAAGGGACACGTGACCTCCATGTGATGCTTCCTAATGTATCAAGACATTGTGCCACAGGACTGGAGACTGGAGACTTTATTGTTGAAAGTATTACAGATATCTTCCTTTTATCCCCATTGAGAGGATGACTTTATTATCTTTTGTTTTCTACAGGATTCTATCCCTTTCTAGAATGTAGCAATAATCAGGATGATGCAACATAATTGCAAGACCAGCTCCATAACTGTAAGACTGTGGGTCTTAATAGTCATAACTCTAGTGAGAGAATGTTCCTGAGAGTGACCTCTGGAAGTCATCCTGCCAAACCACCTTTTAAAGCAGATAACTGATATCCACAAACCAGAATGTCTCTTAGACAAATATTCCATTTAAAATGCTAAAGTACCAATTCTCACTGCTGTCTTAAAAAAATGTTTTCTGCCTGTACTTCAAAGCAGACACCTTGTGAGCACAAAAGTCTGTGTACACAACCTTCATGAATTGGAACGGTCCTAGCTCAGCTAAACCTTGTGTCAGAGCTGAAGGTGATTCAAGGGGATGGTGCCCATCACTGTGGTGTCAAACAGATCAGATGGGCAGATGGAGATGCAGTAAAAGTTAATGGGGTAAGTGTCCTTTAACTAGGTGACTTCTAAGTTTTATTAACCCTTCTTGATCCTACCACAACGAATTATGAATAAATCCTAGCCTTTTGTCAGGATAGTTTGCAAAATAAACATATGACATGGCACCTTTCAGTAACTCAGTTATCCAGTGACAATATGGCTGAGAACTAAGACATACATGATCCTTGCTGCTCAAAATTGAGTCACAAAGTTCATACTACTCTAAACATTAGAATATTGCCATTAGAAAAAAAATCATTAGACTCTCCCCCAGCACTTGCTTGCTCTCAGTCTACCAGTATTTATGACCAACTGTCTAGTTTCTAAGTTCACTATAGTCTGGAAACAGAAAATTAAAAGGGAAAAATGCAACCTCTCTGGGTAGGACATTAATAGAAGAAGAAGAAAAAAAGGCATAACTCTAAAAAGCCACCAGACCTTAAAAATGCAGTTGCCTGAAGCCATGAGTACAGGGCCACAGAATGTGACATTCTCACAGGCTTGGGGCATCGATGACTCAGTCCAGCATGTGATCATGATTAATATTCATGGCATGACTCTGAGTCCCATGGAAAGGTTAAAATAAGTCTGATATACAGTCCTGTATTTGAGAAGGTGGGAAAAAGAGCAACAGAAATTTTCAGAAGATTTCCATTTCAAATGAATAAAACTAAAAAAGGCTTTGGTGTCTAAAGGGGAAACTAACATCTCTAAGAATTTAGCTCTCAAGAATTAAATCTGTTTGTGCACACACCTGAAATCAATATAAAATAACATTGATGTAAACTGTAACTGAAAAGTAAATAAATCTATTTGTGCACAGGTCTGATTTCTAACTGACATTTATTGTTTTTTATTGAATTTACTAGAGGCCCACTGCACAAAATTTGTGCATGAGGCGGAGTGTGGGGGGAGGGGGGTTTCCCTCAGCCCAGCCTGCACCCTTTCCAATCAGGGACCCCTTAGGGGATGTCCAACTGCCCGTTTAGGCCCTATCACGATCGGGCCTAAACCGGCAGTCGGACATCCCTCTCACAATCCTGGACCACTGGCTCCCAATCGCTCACCTGCCTGCCTGCCTGGTCACCCCTTACTGCCCCTGCTTCCAGCCTGATCACCCCCAACTACCCCCCTCTGTAGCCTGGTTTCCCTTAACTGCCCCCCCTGCTGGCCTGGTTGCCCCCAGCTTGGTCATCCCTTACTGCCCCACACTTGCCGGCCTGGTCAACCCCCAACTGCCTCCCCTCTTCCGGCCTGGTCATCCTTAACTGACCCCCTGCTGGCATGATTGCCCCCAATTGCTCCCCCCACCCCCGTTGGCCTAGTTTCCCCTCACTGGCCCCCTTCCAGCCTAATTTGTCCCCAGCTGCACCTCTCTGCTGGCTTGGTCACTACTAACTGTCCTCCCTGCCGGCCTGGTCGCCTCTTACTGCCCCCCGCACAGCCAGGTTGGTCGCCCCCAACTGCCCCCCCTACCGGCCTTGTCACCCCACACAACCTGCTGTTCAGACATTTGGTCGTCCCTCACTAACCCCCACTGCCGGCCTGGTCATAGGCAGCCATCTTGTGAGAGCATGAGTGTTAATTTGCATATTACCTCTTTATTATATAGGATTGGGGTGACATTGGTTAATAAAATTATTTAGGTTTCAAACAGGTGTACACAAAACAAATATCCAGAAATCAATTTCATTTCTATACACGAATAATGACCTATCAGAAAGAGAAACTAAGAACAAAATCCATTTACAATTGCATAAAAATATAAAATACATAGGAAGGACGGCAGCCAGTCTCGGGCATCACACTTGCACGTTCCTGTACCTTGTGACCAGAAAATGAATAAATTATTTTTGAAGAAAAATAAAATAAAATAAGTAAAATAAAATACATAGGAATATATGACACATTTTTTATTGAAACCAACAAACTGCCAATTCAGGAACAGCCATTCTCAGGCCCTGTTTTCCAGCTCAGCAAATGCAGGCAATCACTTGAAATCTACTCCTCGCCACTGGAGTGCTTTGCCTATTTTCTATCCTCCTGGACAAGCAAGTCAGCCCATACTTCCTGTTCCAGTTCTGGCTCTGCCTGCCTGTGTGACCCAGCTGCTCCAGCTGCTCCGCATCC